GAGATAATTTTGCAATTGATAGCAAAAGATGAAGCAGTTACAATTGGTGTTTATGGGATGGGTGGTACTGGTAAAACTACTATCTTTAAGCACGTTTATAATCAACTCTTAGAAGAAGCAAATCGTTTTGATAAGATTATTTGGGTAACTGTATCCAAAGATGGTAATATTATTAAATTACAAAACGACCTTGCAAAAGAGCTTGATTTAAATTTATCAGGTGAAGATGATGTACTCAGAAGGTCAAGATTATTGTTGGAAGCATTGGAGAAGAGGAAAAGGGTTGTGTTTTTCTTCGACGACATGTGGACAAAATTTTTTCTTGATGAAATAGGTATTCCTGAACCTACTCAAGAAAATGGATGCAAACTACTATTAACTACAAGGAAGTTAGATGTGTGCGAAAATATGGGATGCCACGGAGATAATATAATTAAAGTTGAACCTCTTCCAAAAGATGAAGCATGGCAGTTGTTCATGAAGAAGGTTGATTGTGTGCTCACTCCAGAAGTAAGGAAAATTGCAAAGATGGTTGCCAAGAAGTGTTTTGGTTTGCCACTTGCAATTATCACAGTAGGTGCATCAATGAGAGGAAATTCTGACATTACCAAGTGGACAATTGCTTTAGAGGACTTGAACTCGAGTGACGCTAACAACCAAACCATGGATATCAAAGACGATGTCTTTAAATGTTTGAAATTCAGTTATGACCGGTTGGAAAACGAGAAACAAAGAAAGTGTTTCTTATATTGTGCATTGTATCCTGAAGACTGGGAAATTGAATCAAGAGATTTGGTGGACTATTGGATCATAGATGGTATAGTTGAGGGAACAAATAGGCAGAATGAGCTTCTTAAAGGCCAATATATATTGAATATACTAAAAAACCATTGCTTGCTTGAAACTGTTGATATGGTCTGGGATAACTACTATCAAAGGTCTGATGGAGTAAAAATGCACGATTTGATAAGGGAAATGGCCCTTCGTCTCACAAACAAATGTTTCTTGGTTAAAGGTCCAGGTTTGAAGGAATTGCCCAAAGAAGAAGAGTGGGAAATAGATATAGAAAAGGCTTCTTTTATGGATAGTAGTGAGATAGTAGCTATTTCAATAAGTCCAATATGCCCTAAGCTTTCTACCTTCATTCTTAGAGACAGTGGACACTTAGAGAGTGTAAGACACGATTTTTTTGTCCACATGAAATGCCTCAAGGTACTTGACTTGCGATGTAGTGAATTGAAGTCTCCAAATTGGCACTTGGATTTTTTGCCGGATTCCATAGCTGATTTGGAGAATTTATGTGCTTTACGCATAAGTTTGTACAAAAGGTTGAAGAAATTACCTTCATTAGGTAAACTCGTATTATTGAGAAGGTTGGAGTTTACAAATTCTGTTGTTGAAAAATTACCTGAAGGAATGGAAATGTTGGTTAACCTTAGATGCCTTAATCTTCATGGAGTCAGATTAAAGGAAAAAATTCCAACAGGATTAATATCAAAGTTTTCTTTACTGCAAGAACTGTACCTTGGTGACATAGAAGTGGATAAATTATATGATGTGGGAAGGGGTGAATCTTTTGTAAAGGAATTGCTAAGCTTGAGAGAGTTGGAAAATCTTAGCGTCACTTTTCATTGCTTGTCTGATTATTGTAGCTATATAGGATCACCCAAATTCAAAGATTTGAATTTTTTTTTTCTAGCAATTGGCGAAGGGATAACTTACAGTAATTCTTATATAGATGCTCCTCCACAGTCAACTACTATTCATATATGTGAGCCGCCTGATGAACACATTGCTCTTGTTTTTCCTAAAAGCACAAAACATGTCGACATAAGAGCATTCGATGATGTAAGATTAAATGAGTTAAAGGATGTAAGGGAGCTAGAAACAATTGGAATCAGAAGTTGTAAGGAAATAGAGTGTATATGGTCATCAAAAGATGAAAATCAAGAATTCAGTGCTACTGGTACTTCTTCTACTTGTTGGCTACGAAGCCTGGAAACGATACATATCTATCGATGCACCAAATTGAACACAATATTTGAGGGGATTCCAAATTATACTTCTGGCGTTCTTCCAGTATTTTGCTTGAAGAAATTGTTAATCCAATATTGTTATAATCTCAAGAATGTCTTCCCGTCGTCTAGGTTGTCGCAGCTGCTCCCAAACCTTGAAGAGATTCGTATCGAAGGTTGTTATGAATTAGAGGAGTTGATAGGAGATGAAGAAGAAGAAACTGAAACACCCATAGCAATCCCTAGATTGAAAAATTTGTTGATTTTTGATCTTCCGAAATTGAAGAGAATTTGGAGAGGCGTGATGATTTGTGACTCTCTCGAATGGATTGAGGTATTCAATTGTTATAAATTAAAAAGTCTCCCTCAACTTAAGGGTGAAGACCAATCGACACCACCACCAGCTCTCAGGAGTATCTTTGTTGACAGAATGTGGTGGGATTCACTAGAGTGGGATCCTGCCTATCCCAAAATTATCCTTGAACCGTTTTTGAAAAGAGGTATGTATGATTTATACTCTTAATTTCTATCACTTCAGAGAAGAAGGTATACATAATTTCTATTCATTTCCATCTTTTCACTTAAAAATGCGTACATACAAGCCCTTGTCTTTTGCTTCTTGTTGACAAAACCTCTTATTTAATTTCCCAAATATATTTTTAATTTCAATTTCATACTTAACTTCGTGCTATTGTTATTAACTATGCGCAATGTATTTTTTTTTCATGTGCATAAGATTGCAGTAGTGAAATTTCAAATATTTTATTTGCTCAAAGATAATTTCATTGAAAAAAGAGAAAAAAAAAAAGCAAGAGTTACAGTAGGGTTTTATAGTTTCCCAACCACTAATTTACAAAACGATAGTACAACATCTCCAATGGAAGATTGAATGGTGGTTTCCCAGCCCACCAACATCTCTCCCCTTTCTGCAAGTAACTTCCTTTTTTGAACATGCATCAGCCACAAAGTTTACTTCTCTCTTGTTAACTCTTAGAGCATTCCCAATGGGAGGTGGATTTCACAGGGTGGAGTAGGAAATCCACCTCCTAAGTCCAATGCGATTCTAAGTAAGGGTGGGCATGGTCCAGTACGGTCCTAGAAACTAGTGGAACATGGACCATCCCACCTTCACAGACTCGGTTCGGTTTCGGTCCTTAGGACCGAATATACATAATGGTAACTTGACCATCCCGGGACCAAATCCAATCGGTCCGGTTTCGGTCCTATTTTGGTCCTGGGCTTTTTTACCAGGCCTTAACCCAATTGAACTGTAAAACCCATTTGAACTATCAATATTATGTCCAGATCCACAATTTACTTCTCCTATTGTTATTCACAGTAAACATGTATCATATTATCGCGTACAATTAATATAAACTTCCAGATAAAATATGGAAGATAATCCCTAAAAAGTCAAAACACTTCAAACTTGAGATTTTTAAAGTTTTCTAAATCGATAAAAAAAAAAAGCTAAAACTTAGTAAATCTAAAACAAAATTCAAGCAATAACAACACAAAACCAACCAAACGTTCTAAACCCTAATGTTTTAATTATAAAAAATAATTCAATTTCAAATGATAAAAGTTGAAAACGAGGTGGTGAGGGAAGAAAAGGATCAGAACCTGTCGAGATTCATGAGTAACATCAAATAATATCAGTGGATTGACAGTTTCATTGTTTGCTTTTCATAAAACATAGAGCAAAATTGTTAAATATTAAAAGTATGCAAATAACCTAATTACTACTCGGTCCGGTACGGGACTTTCGGTATTATTAAAAATGGTACGAGACCGGACCAACTCCTATTCAGGTCGGTACGGTTTCGGTTCGGTACTATTCGGTTTTTGGTCAACTCGGTTTTGACTGGTTTCGGTCCGGTTTTCTGGTTTTCGGTTTTTTTGCCCA